ACAAGCAACATCACTTGAAACTGTGTTTGAGACAGGAGAGTAGTATATAGCAATGTTTTCTTGTTTGCTCAGTTTCCATATGCTTTGTTTTGTTTTTCCTTTAAATGGCTTGGCACAGATTCATCTTTCCTATGAAATATTTATTATTGTCTTATTTACATTAATTTTGAATGCTTCATCAGAAATCTGATCTCTCTCTGGTTTATACGCTTGCTTCCCAATAAACCAATTAAAACCCAGCTGCTATGCAGAGAAAGTGAGTGTGAATCAGATCTTCTTTCCAAGGATTGTTCTTTTATAGATAGGTCTTGTGTCCTATTTGCCTGGCAAGAATTTAATTACTCTGAAGAAGATGACAAACATCTGATATTTCACTTGGAGATGGAAAAATTTAAGAATTCTTAGAATGGTTCTGGGAAATACTTTTAAGGAAAGTTATAGCTCTGTTTGCTCTCCACCCACTATTCTTATGTTTAGAACCCGATACTTCTCTGTCTTTCATTGCATTGTCTGAACCCTGTCAGATCTGTCTTTACAACAGGTGCCATTTGTATTTTCCCAGAGGTTCAGTTAAGTTGCCTGTTCAAGCTCATCTTGGAGGCCTGTGTGCAGAGAACTAGGTCTGATTTGCAGTCCCTTTCTGCTTGTGGCCAGATTTTAACAGAAACGTAAGTGCCTCAAGATGTAGCTTGGATGCTCATGAGACTGCTGGAAGTAACAATGCCACAGATTCTCACGACTTAGGTGTTTTGCTTTAGAACTGCCTTTTCATTGTTTTTAGTCAAGGAATATTGTGATTTATGCAAAAGCTATGGGTGCTACCATCCTTCTCTGTAGCTTTGCAGTCTCTTTTACCTCCTAGCAATCAGATCGCTGTCCTGGCGGTGGATAGTCTTCTCCAGGAACTCCAGTCAGCCTTGAGTGACTCAAGACATATTTTGTCTCCATTTTCTCTTATTTGCCCTTATCCTTGGAAGCAAAGTACAAAGACTGTCTATGGGAACTGCAAATAAATGAGAGTTCCCCGTAAAGTTCAAGCTGGGGAGAAAAAAGAACTTAATGCTGAGAATGGTCCTTGCCGCTCTCAGATAAACACTGAGCTCTTCTGAAGGCACCGGAGCCAATTATAGGAGAAGCTGGTACAAGCAACCAAGGAGCTGGTTCTGCTGAATGGTGATGTGTGGTTATGACAAAATGGTACCAGGGAGCCAGCTTGTTGCTACTTGCAGACTGCTGCAGAATGTACTCTAATTTTTGCAATCAGGCAGAGAACAGGATTGGGGGGCTGGGTAAAATATGATTTCATTAAACAAAATAAAAACCAACAGTCTGAATAGAAAGAAAAAGCTGCAATTAACCATGGTAGAAGGTCCCCCAGAATTCTGTTTTGAATAATCACAGAATTTCTGGGTTGGAAGAGACCTCAAGATCATCGAGTCCAACCTCTAACCTAACACTAACAGTCCCCACTAAACCATATCCCTAAGCTATACATCTAAACGTCTTTTGAAGACTTCCAGGGATGGTGACTCCACCACCTCCCTGGGCAGCCTGTTCCAGTGCCTAACAACCCTTTCAGTAAAGAAGTTCTTCCTAACATCTAACCTAAAACTCCCCTGGCGCAACTTAAGCCCATTCCCCCTCGTCCTGTCACCAGGCACGTGGGAGAACAGGCCAACCCCCACCTCTCTACAGCCTCCTTTAAGGTATCTGTAGAGAGCGATAAGGTCACCCCTGAGCCTCCTCTTCTCCAGGCTGAACAAGCCCAGCTCCTTCAGCCGCTCCTCGTAGGACTTGTCCTCCAGGCCCCTCACCAGCTTCGTCACCCTTCTCTGGACCCGCTCAAGCACCTCAATGTCCTTCTTGTAGCAAGGGGCCCAAAACTGAACACAGTACTCAAGGTGCGGCCTCACCAGAGCCGAGTACAGGGGGACGATCACCTCCCTAGCCCTGCTGGTCACACTGTTTCTGATACAAGCCAGGATGCCGTTGGCCTTCTTGGCCACCTGAGCACACTGCTGGCTCATATTCAGCCGACTGTCCACCATCACTCCCAGGTCCTTCTCTGCCTGGCAGCTCTCCAAGTAATTCTTGCCCCAATGGACAGAGTTAGGAACTGCTCCTTAGCAGTCAGGATCATCCTTGTGTGTAGCTGCCAAACAGAAGGACTCAGATCACAAAAGCCCATGAGGCTGGTCTGTATTTCTTCTATCTCCTACTAAGTAGAACATTATTCTGCAGATTCAGGCTTTCCTGGGTGTCATTGCAACTGTTGTGCTGATGACAAACAGCAGGCTTTTTCTAACAGCTCTGACAGTAAACACCACCAGGAGAACAGGCTCCTGAACATCACAATGTTCAGTGTGGCGTAATTCATGCTGAGCTGGGATGCCTTGGTACCAGCCTTGTATTTCTGTTTCAGGCTCTTTTCTAGGAAGAGATACTTGCATGGAAAAGCCTGTGGGGTGAACATGGTTGGTTGTATCCCGCTAGCAATCTTTGTTTCTAGGTTTTTGTTGTCTGAGGAAACATGCTGTCAGAGAAGCCTAAAGCAACCATGCAAGTTCAACAAGGAAGATGTCTCTTACTTGAGCCGTGTATGAATGTGTGAGCTGCAAGTTATTCTGGTCTTTTGTTGACCAAGGGGGAGGAGTTGCTGAGGATTTAGAAAGCTCAGCTAAGAATCCTGTCACTCAGGGCACATCAAATTAGCATCATGCCAATGAAAAGACGTTTTGGGTATGCTTAGGACCAAAAAGTGCTCTCAGCAAAGGCAACAGCAGTTCTGCTGCTCAGTTCAGTGCTACTCCAGGCTTTACCCATCTCGTTCCACTGTACTTCAATAAAAATTTAAATAAGGCTTATAGCCAGACTGTTAATTAGCAAAGAGAAAGTGAGCTGAGTGGTCTCCTCCATGCCTTTTTATGTTAATACAATTGTACATCTTGTAAGTGCCTATTTAAACAGCCCTGTTTTGCTGTAGGGCACAGTCAGAATCTCCTAGGGTAGTGGTTTTCAAACTGAGCTCTGCATTCCACCGAGATGTCTACACGCCTTACATCTTTGGGATCTGTGGAATGTGTTTCATTACTATAGTTAGTACTATTTTTCATGGGTCTGAAGAAAGGCAGAGACCTTTATAGAGCGCATCCCACTGACTTTCAGGCAGGTTACATTTACAAGTTTCGTGAGTGCTTTTGAAATATCTTCTGTAAAAAATCTTGTATTTAATTACATAGAACAAGTGCTTAGCTCCACAGAGACCTCCTCACCTGAGCAGTCTCTTCTGGACCACATAAAACACACAATTCAGCTTAAGTCAAGAGAACCACAGGACTTAAAGGTTTTAATGGTTTTCCAAAAATTGCTCTGAGTATCTATTTAATAGTACTGTTACATAACAAAGTTGTCATTCAAGCTAAATACTGCTCTATATAAAATTGACATCCTGATTTTTTTTTTCCCCACATATTTGGCAAGGATTAGGCTGTGGTAATTTGAATGTCTTTACTGCACAGATGAAACCACATCATATTGTCTTAGCGCTCAAGTCTTGATCCTAATCCTCCTGTTTTAATAGATGGAATTCATGATCCTACTTCTGTCACTCTATAAAAATGGTAGGTAATTTTCAGGGGGAAAAAACTAACAATTTCCTACTGAAATTTAACTTATCTCTAAACTTCTTATTTAGAATTTACTATGAAGAACCAAAAGCATATGAGAATTTAGAAAACAAACAAAAAACCTATCAGATAGTAGTTTATTTTTTATGAAGTGTTTAAAGGTTACTGTTGAATATTTTGAATGAGATTCCTTGTGTGCTGTTAAATGTTGAAGAATGTTTCCACAAGACTTTTTTTAACCTCAATTATTACCATATCCTTGAACAGTTCAGAATATATGAATCAGATAGAAATGTTATTTGCATACCCAATTAACAAGCTTAAAACTAAAAGTGCTTACCATTTTGGTCCGTTTTAGAGAAGGGGGTCAGAACTAGGAATCTTTAAAGGAATTAAGATGTTTCTTTCTCCTTATAAAAAACTCAGCAGAGGATTCAGTGTTTTCTTATGCATCTCTTCCCCTTGATTCCTTCTATCAGCCATCCGCTACCCCCTTCCTACACACACACTCTTCTGTCTCTGTGTTTTCCATCAAACCTGGAACTGCCTCCTGCCTGCCAGAAAGACAAGATGGCTCAGTCGCCCTGCAGTCAATCAGACAGCTTGGCTTGCATGGGAGAGCCTGGCCAGCCGAGTCACATTTTGACCTCTTTCATCTGCTCATCTGAAAAGTTTTGGATCCACACAAACTCTTGATAGCATGCTGCTCCAGCGTGCCAGGGCCCCCAAAACAGCTCCAGCCGCTCCAGGCCGGGAAATTGGTGCTACGGTCCCATTTTAACCCCATGGCACCCAGCATGGCTGGTAGAAAGGCCTGCTCTTTGCTGGTTTGAAAAAATACCTTTATTTGCTGAAGCTGCGCACGCTGTTGTCAGCCTGATTTATTCTTATAAACCTTTTTGAAGGGACTTTTGTTATGCAAGCAGCTACTGCATTTTTGTCTCATTCCATTTTTTCCCTTCCCGCCTGAATCATTTTTGGCTGGGGCTCCTGGCTAAGACCAGTCCTACAGCCGGGATATCCACAGCCCTTTTCAGTGGGGACAGCCAGCTGCTAAACACAAATTGACAACTGGGGCAAGGGTGCGTTCTAGATATGATTTAATTAGCTTTATTTTAATTTATTTTTTCCTTAAAGGACGAGGAAATATGTTATGCACATATTGTTTCAGCTCTCCTAGAGGGAAAAAAGCGGACTCCTAACACTTTCAGGGCAAGGCAGCACGCCTGAGGGCTCTGATGCTGAGGCAAACACGGAGGCCGAGCCCGCCACCCTTGTGGCCGCCATTTTGGGTGGTGCCTCAGGGCTGAGGCGCGGGCTCGGCACCATTTTGTGTTACCGCAGCCTCCCTCCACCTGGCCCCGTTGTCGTCGCCTCCCCCCAGGTAGACGGCAGGCAGGACTTGGGATTGGAGGCAGCAAAGAGGACAGCAGTGAGGGGGCAAGGGGATTGTCAGGCCCCCGTGCTTTTTGTGCGGTCACCTGGAAAGTTCTGCAATCCATTCCTGGAGTTCCTGAGGGAGCCGCTGCAGCAAGGAAGGTGCTGCCACCGGGAAAAGGGTTGTGGGCTCCCAGGGTTAAGTCCTGGCACTAGATCCTTATTCCTAGCTAATAATCCTGTATTTTTCCTCTCAGTCTGGGGAGGGGAGCCTTGTGGGCTGCTCTTTGGGAAAATGGGGGTTAGCGCTCTTGGGAACTGGTGACCTACTGTACAGAAGCAAAGGCAATGGAAATGGGGTTGATAGACAGCCTGTATCCCATGACTAGAGACCAGAAGCTTTTCTATATCATACGGTATAGTTAGTAAAGAAGAGATTTATTTTATGCTTTGTGTTCAGCGTGAAGTAGGTTATCTCTGCCCAATGTTGTGTAGTGGCTTTACTGGTGCAAAGAGGCCTGAAGAATCTCGATTTTCTGCTGTGGTAGCATTTCATTTTATTGCTGCTTATGTGTTGTGCTGTGGGGTAAGTGAGGAAGATTTGTGTGAAGGAACTTCACCCTCTAAAGTTGCTTTTCAGATACTTAATTTTCATAACTGTTTTTTTTTTTTTTTTTTTTTTTTCCTTATTATTTTTCAGTGTTTGAGCAGTATCTGTGTAAGGGCCTGAGGGAAGGAATTTCATCCCTGTCCTACACGCTGTTCCAATGTCAGTTTTCTGTCACATCTCTGGTGTGGGCAACAGTAATTCCTAAGCCCTAAATTAACTCTAGCAGGTGTGTAAATCTTGATGCCAAAAGCTGTATATAAAATCTTTACAGCAGTGGTCTCTCAAGAAGAGAAATTGGCACTTGTTTACGGCTTTTGGTGTTGGTGGGTGTAAAAGCAGTTGAGACTGTTCTTATTTTTCTGGTGTGGCCATATCCCTTTTTTTCCTGGTTGTCCAACTGGCAGTTTAGTCAGTCTGTTATACAGAGGGCAGAGAGTAGCGTCTGCATGTGGAATTAACTGATGTAGCTTCCTTTCAAGCAGCTTTTTGTTTCAAACATTAGCCGCTGCTATGCTATGTTCAGGGATCTCTGGTCTCGATGTTTGAGATGACCTCAGTGCTGCTCCAGTAGGTAAGGAGAGCTCATCCATGTAAAACGACTTCAATTAATACTTAATTATATGAGGTGATGCTTCTGCAAGAGTAAGCTATCCCAAGGCATTTACAACTACCCATGCTTAGTTGCACTACATAGTTTGTGCTGATGTAGTTGGATGTTTGCTACTACAAATGCAAGAGTTAAAAGTCAACTGTTAATTGATGGGTCTAGTATGTCTTGTGCGTGCTGCAACCCTGTTGTAAGGAGGATTAATACATTTAGAAAAAAAGTCTCAATTTTTTATGTTCAAAAAATTTCATTTTAATGGAAGTCGAGTAGTTCTACTCTAACATTCTTATTTAATCTTAGGCTGTCTCTTTACATGAGACTAAGGTTTAGATGTTTTCTTCTTTTTAAAAAGCGTTGATTCCTGGCTGCTACTGAAAGGAGATTTTGTTGTTGTTGCCTGTTTCTCTGGTATAATACACCAGGAAAAAAAAAAAAAAAAAAAGCATGGAGGGGCTCTGTCTTGGGATCTGCTGCCTGAAGTAAACAGACCAGGTAGATACTTTATAACAAGCTCTAATCTAAATTGTGAGAAACAGTTGCCCATGCTTGTTAGAGTAAGCCTTTAGGAATGTTTATTGTAACTTCCATCTTTGTATCTGCAAGTGAGAAATATTTTGGAGTGAGATCAAGTTCAAATTTTGTGAAGGGGTAGCATTACTGTTCTTGTACTGCCAGGGAAATGGAGTCAGGAGGAAGGAGAAGACAGCAGCACATTTACGTACTGAGGTTTGACGAAAGGAAATAATTATGACTCTGTAAAGTGTCAGTCATTCAGTCTCTCTTTGTTTTGACACATTCAATTCTAGTGATTGGTGGTAAAGAAGATGAGTGTTAGGGAGATTTGAAGCAAAAAAATTTAATGGGGGGAAGCAAGGGGAGAGAAAAAAAAAAACCTGTCGAAGACAATTTCTGGCAGGCAGTCCGGTTCCTGGTGCAGACAGATTGGCTGATGTTGATTGTTGACAGCTTCTGCAGCTTGCTAATTACAACTGTAAAAAATTCAGGTGAATGACAGTAACTTGAAATGTTAATTCTGCTTTTTTTTTTATTTTGCAGCTGCAACTGTTAGTTGGCTATTGCTGTAATTGATGGACACTGGCAGTTGCTTAGACAGATGGAAATTAATACTTGTGTTACCGTTAGAACTCGCTTTCACAGTCACGTTTTTATTAGGCTCCTGCACTGAATTAATGTGCACACGATGGTGCGTAGAGAAGGAGCAGACGCAGCTCCTACCTGAAGAGCAGCCAGCAGCACTGCATGTCTCTGAAGGGTTGTGCATCTGTAGGCTGTGGTAAAGATAGTGGGACTGCACCAAAAAAGTGATAGCTTGGACGCTGAGGGCTGAACCACCCTGGAGCTGAGCAGGCAGTTCTTCAGGCTTGTGATTTATCCCAGTAATTAGGCTGGCTTTGGAAGAGCGGATATGGATGTAGGGAGCAGATAACTGCTGAATGGTCCTCCACATGAAATGGGTTCAGTTTGGAGTAATTTTCCTTTTCTAGCACTACTGTCTTAAATCTAATGGATGTGTCTTTAAAAAAAAAAGTCTTAAAGTGTAGCAGTAGTGTGGGTTCTTCCACTGCAGTTAAAACTGTCAGGCATGGAAGGGGAAAAACTGTGGACCAAGACAGAATTGTCATGCCTGTCTGCATTGAAGGCATGTGTATTGAAAAAAAACAAATGCTTTCCGACACCACGATTAACAAAATATGGTCTCTTATATGTCATAAAGCTGGGAGGTGTGAATTCTGAATAAAGAGAACTTCCCTGCAATGGCAGTATTTCATGTGGGCTTTTGTGTGCAGGCTGTTTCTGGACAGTATTCTTCCATAAGGGAAATGGTTTCTCCGTATTTCACCTGGCCTTTTACTTTCACAAAATTTGAAGGCCATTTATAGAGCCAAGAGTCTCTTGTGTCTCCAAGCCTGCATCAGGAGGAAGCAGTGGAGTTCTTGACTCTGTTACTTTTCTGTATGGCCAGAAAATGCTTGAGTTGGTGAAATATTTCTACGCTTAAGTGAATTGAGAAATTAACTTTTTTTTTTTTTTTTTTTTATGGGTCATATGCAGGTAAGAAGGTGGTTGTTTGGTTTTGGAGTTGGTTTAATGATACTATGCAGGTAACTAAAATATGCCTGACTCTTTGAGCTGGGACGGTCATCTTAATTTCTTTGCCTATTTTTTTTTTTAATATTAAGGTCAATGTATGTTGTAATGCAGCTGCTATTTCTGTTAGACCTGTGCCCCTTGAATTGCGTGGCAGTTTATTCAGGAGATCATCTGATTCTGCTTCCTGCTTTCATGTCCCTACATAGCTGTATCTGAGTTACTTTAAAGTAGCAAGCTACTGAATTTATTTCAGGCTCTAAAACTTAAGTATTTTTAAATGTCCTATTTTTCCTACTGCAGTTAAGAAGGCTTGCTCACTGTAATGCTCTGAGAAGTGTTACCTGGATGAGAGTTTGCAGCTGAAGATGTTGCCAGAGCTTAGAAGAGAGAATTGCTTGCATTTGAAGATGATGGAGCCGTCAATCCACACTAGAGCCTGCTTGCTAGGGTAATGAATGCAAGAACTGGCCTTGTACCTTCTGAGCTTGAGAAAAAGCTTAGATGTCCTTCAAAAATTTCTGTAATAATGTGGGAGCCCTTTAAGACTTAAGTAAGTTGATGGCAACATGATTTAAGTGGATCAGAAATGCAGCTGTGATCTTCACTGTTGTCTCTTGAGTTCTAGTTGCCTTTGTGTCATGTGAGTCACAAATGACCATGGTATTGGCTGAAAGGAAAAATGCCCACATGTAGCTTAAATAAAAGCAATTAAGAAGGTGAAATACAGCACAGAGGAGAAGTAGAAGTGAGGTGAGGTTTTGATAAGTAGAGAAGTGGTGTTATGTGTGGAAGAAACTTAGAGAATTCCTGTTAGATTTGAGAGTGGGCCTGCTTTGGTGGTGTGCTGGTTCAGCTAGAGTCATGGCTGATGTCACAACTGACTTGCTTCAGCCTCACAGGGCTTGATGCTGAGGGTGTAGGCCCCCAGGACTTCACCTCTTGGAAAGGACTGAAGCAAGTCAGTTCTCTCCTCACATGCATTGAGGGAGCTCTGCAGAAGCATTGGTCAAACAGATCAAAGGGTTGGATACTTTCTGAGTAGGAAAGCTCTTAAATTCTGAGTTACCTGAAGCATGCTTTATTTTAACAGTTTCCAGCCTACAGCGCTTCAATTCGGTGAGGAAGAACCTTCATTGCGCGGCATTCAGCGATAGCAACAAAGCGACTCCCTTCTCCGGACGTGTTCACGAGCTGTGTGCAGAGGTAGGCTGGCAGAATGGATAGCTCAGCTCTTGGTGCAGGTACTGGCTGTCTTGTTGTTTGTGTGGATAGAGGTCGTGCACACACAGTCCTCTCTCTCTTTCTGCCTTGTTCCTAAGCTGCCTTTGACCAAACAGGTGCCTCATCTTAAGGCCTGCCAGGTGTGGCTGACTGGTAGTTGTGACCTGAGAGCTGAAGTGTAAGCAGCTGCTAATGATTTCTTCACTGGGCTGGTTAGCAAAGCTTTGCTGTAAATGTAACGGTGCACTTGCACGCGGCACAGGAGATGCTCATGGGCTAAAGGTAGGATCGCGTTGCCCGCTGCTGTGCCAATTACTGGATATTAATGGCAGGATAGCATGCATATGCCTAAACTGGGAAGCAGAAGGTTAATAGACGAACAGCACCAGAAGATCCCATTTATCAGTTTCTATTTATCTCTCCTTGGGAGGTGGCAGGTTTACAGTAAATACCTTCTGTCCTCCTAATTTCCTAATGATGGGGATAATGATGGAGAATGGTGAAGTCATTAACTGGGACAGCCTCTGTGCATCACTCTGTCAACCACATCTCTCCAAGACCTGCGATGAAAAGTGATGGGCCCCAGCTGTTCACCAGATTCTCTTCCCCTCCCCCCTCTCCCCATTCTCTACCCCAGTTGCAGGCTTCGCAGTTGAGAAGGGAAAAAATAAAAAAGAAAACCCACAAACGGAAAGACAAAGGGCCAGTCCCTTCCCATGCTGGAGCCGCTCTGCTCGGTGCTTCGTGTGTGTGTGTGGCAGGGAGAACCAACCTGATCCCATTACAGAGCTCTGGGTGTGGCGCTAGCCTTGGGCATAGTGGTATCCTGCAGATAAGAGTGCAGAACCCAGGGGAGCAGTGGCTTGCTGAAAGGAGCAGAATGCAGAAGCAGGTTGTACTTTTAGGAATGAGGCACTGCATTGCCATGGTGCTGTCTTCCGATGAAGAACTTGTTAAAAGTCTGTAAAAACATTCAGCGTTTCTCTGTATCTGAAGCATTGTGCTGGAATACTGATGCCTTCCAGTGTCTACACAATGGTGGGGCAAACAGTTATCAGAGTCCCCATATATGGGGGATAGAGCCTGGCCACTGTATTCTCTTTGTAGTTCTATTTTAAATCCAGTCTTTGAATCTACAATTTCAAGACATAAATGTGCCTCTGGAACATGAGATGAACTTCACGTAAAAATTTACTTGCTTAAGTTTTTTCACTGAAGAGTTTCACTTTTTTCCATGTCATGCCTTTGTATCTGACTGACTTTTTCATTGTATTTGTTTTATATGTGGACAAAGGCTGTGCCATAATCACTGATTTCAGGGGATAAAGACTGGCTTACCATTTTTAACGGGTGTGTATTCATCCAGGGAATGTGTTGGTGATTTATTGCCAGCCCTGTTTAAAACGCAGCATTCCTCCTCGGTGAGGAGAGGAAGAAAGTTCCCACTGTGGAGACAACTGGGTTTTCTGTTACAGTGGAAGGGGAGAATCTCACATACACTCACTTGGTATGCTCGTGGTTTTCTGGTAAATCTGAGCATGTGTGCAATCATCAGCAAAGCTCCTTGGTTCGACCTATTTTCTATTAATGTGATAGTTCTCCAGTGAGATATCTTTTTCTCGATTATTTTACTTAACTTGTGAGCTAGTGCAACAGCTTTGTTACCGTATAGCAAAACCACAGTCACTTGCAGTGGCCTTGAGTACAGGGTAATGCAACAGAGCTGGCTACGCCTTCTGCAGGTACAGGTACTTGCTACTTTCTCTTGTTTGTCAGCCATTTGCAGTGGCTTCTGCATGGAAGTCTTTTGAAAAGAGGGGCCTGTCTGCAGTGAGGTTTTCCTATCACATCTGCCATTTGTCAGGCTCATAAAAGAACTCTTGAGCTGTGGGAGCTTTGTATTAGAAGGGTTCATTAACTTTCAAATGTTTCAATTGAGAAATTTCAGAGCTCTCAGCAATAGACCAAGGTGGCCAGCTCAGCCAAGAGCGTCCCCTGACAGTCAGGTACAGATGTGATTGCTAGTCAGAGAGCTGTAAGAAACCTAATAGTGTCCCAGAAAGTGTCATACTTGAGCTGGAGAGGCTTAAACCAAATAGCCCAGAGAGACTGTAAATAATTTTTGTTAGGCTTTAACAGATAGCAAGGCAGAAGAGCCTTTAGCCTGCAGTATGCCAGGAATTCAGTCTACAAGGTTGTAATTCATGTGGGTCCCATCCTTGTGTGACTCATCTTGTATGTAAGCTGCCCTGGAAAACGTGACAGGAGATAGAAAAACACAGTTGTGCTGAGATAAAGTACTCCACTGGCCTAATCTTGAGCAGGTGACTAACTGTTCTTACGTGCTTCATGCCGGGATGGGTTGTGGTGGTATAGCGAGGTGCCTTTTCTGAGTTGTATCTCTATAACTGCTGTATCTGAGCACAGAGAGAGGTTAAAAATGAAAGGCAATGAAACAGTTCTCTCTTTGGGGAGGTGTGGTGTTACCCATTTAATGCATTAGAAAAGACTGAGTTCCCTAAACGCTTGTTCTGCTTTATCTCCATATGCTAGATGCTACTCGGGGCCTTATGGATACACAAGGATTTTTTCATTACTCCGAGGTAGTCTGGTGGCTAGCTATACGTCAGGGAATCCTTTAAGAACTCTGACTTCTGTTAACCAGCTCTGGTGTCCCTTGGCTATTAACTTTATTTTGTACCTTGAGATGGTCGCAGCGCTTTAGGCCGGGGAAAGTGACGTTTGGCTTTGCTGTGTAATAATGCAGGTCACTTGTCTTACTGGACTAGCCCAGTGCTGAGGCCCAGGGTTCCTGTTTGCCCCAAGTCTGTTATCTAGCCTTGGTTTAGAAATGTGAGGGACATACTTCACAGTGATTGTAGCCATCTCTTGAACAAACTGCGGGGCTTTCGCAGTTATTTTGCAGTGTCCTGTTGGGCTGCTTTTCAGTTAGCTGCCCTTGCCTAGCTTTTCCTAGCTAACATTTGATACAAGTGAAATGAAGCTTTGGATTGCAGTCCTGCTGTGTTACCGTGGTTCCCATGAGAGCTCCTAGAGCTCATAGCTGAGATGTTGAATATGCCTAGTTGTTCACGTCATAACTTCCTCTGGTCTGACCATTCAGTGTCCAGCAATAGAAGTACAGCAGTCCTGGGCTAGGTTCAGCAGCATCAGCTGTTTCTGTGGCTAGCCTCTCGGCTTTGACACCTCAAGCATGACATAAATCAGGCTAAACAGAACAAGCAATATTAAACATCTGTTGACTTCTAAATAAGGAAAATCATATTAGTCACTCTGTAAGCAATCTGCATGATAATTTCAGGAAAACACGAGGTGGTTTCTTTCAGAGGAAGAAATAGCTGATGTATCTTTTCTGTACACATGGACTAGCTGTAGAAAAGACTAAAGAGCTGAGCACAGACAGAAGTCTTGCTTCTGTGAAGTATATTTGTTGGTGAAAAAGAAGGCAAGTCAAATTGCCTACCATTGTGGAAATTTGTTCCAGATGTGTAAAGTACAGCAACTACAGCACTAAATCTTGAGGAGGATGGATGCTGTTACAGATATTGCTGGTCAAGTGAAAGAAATGTCACTGGAGCATTGTAATACGTCTCCAAAATCATTTTTTCAATTATGTGTAACATACAGCAGTGGATGACTTAAAAAGTCATCCTAGCTGACAGCGCAAAGGCAGCAAAATCTTATACTCAAGTCCATTTTTAAAGGTGCAGAGTGTACACATTAACCCTCTGTCTATAGATGGTTGAAAGAAAAAAAAAGAAGTGGTTTGCAGTGGACATTATGCTCTGCTTTCAACTTGTCTTAGCTACTTTTATTCTAGAGCTGGCTATTGCATGGAGTCAGAGCTTCCAAAGGGAAGTGTAGCAGTGCATTTCTGCAGGCTGTTACGGGTGGATCTAATGCTTGTATACCAGAGAAAACTTGATCTGGTTCACGTGATCACCATGTTGTTGTTAACTGAAGTATGAAAGAACTAGTGGGTGTCTTTGTACTGTCCTGCCAAGGGCATTACAGAGATCATGAACCCGTTGTGTTAGCTACTTAACAGTATTAAGGCTTCTTGCTTGCAGGCAATGACAGTAGGGAGGGTGAAACCATTGTTTCTTCGAAAAGAGGAAACCAATACTGCAGGCAGAGCATCCAGCTGGGGCAAGAAGCTCTGTAGGTAGCGGTCAACAGCGTAAGCAACTGGTATGAAGTTCTCCCAGGACTTGCGTGCTTCTTGGTCGTATTACATTGTGGACAACTCTGGATTGTGGTTATGCTTTGTGGATAAATAAGAGCCTCCCTGCTCTGCCCCCACAAATCCATCACAAAACACAAAAAAGACAAAACACCATGCTGCTAGAATGCTGTGATGGAGTCACAGGCCCAACTGAAGATCACCTTGTATTGCATTTCCATGTGACAGTTGTCATTGCTGTCATGTGCACCGTTCCCCACTGCAGTCCAGAGGAGGACCGTGGGCAGGATGGGAACTGTATGTTGTGCCAAATGCAGGTAACTGAGCGTGGCTGGTCTGCCTGCATGCAAGTCAGTAACAGACTTGAGAGCCAAGCCTTCTTTTGTTCAAGATACTATTTTGTTTGAAACATGATGCTGGTTTTGGCCAAGTTCTTATACAGCTGCTATCTGTGTAATAGCTGTCAAAATTCTCTGGAGGAATTGAACCTGTGAACTGCTGCAAAGAATTCTGTTCCTTTAGGGTATGTTAATGCTACTGAAAAGTAATCCATCTTAGGTTTCAAGTCTTGTAAAGGAAACTAGAAAATGTACAGCTTGTTTCCAGAAGGTTGTGTGTGCCCATGTGTGGGGATGGGGAGGGGGAGAATGTCCGTTCAGTGCATTTATTTTCCAGGTACACCAACTGGAAGGATTATTCCTCTGGCTTTCTAAGATGCTACTGCTATGAATTGAAGTCCGTGGTTTGTTTAAAAAGAGGCAGCTAAGTATTGTGTGTA